AGCCACTCCGAAAGACGTCTCCTGCCCCAGGCGAAAGGCAAAGCTGCTGCGAAGCCGAGCACGAAAGCCTTGCAGGGCCCGCCGGATGTCTTGAAAGATGCTGAGAAGGCAAGAGATTCAGGAGCTTGTCAGGGTTCCCCTATGCTGTGAGCTCCCTCGATTGCAGGTTGTTCTATCGGCGAACAATCGCATCCAGGATGTTGGAAAGCTGACTATGAAGTCGGCCGAGCTGGCCGACATGTTCCTCGCTTGTAGTCTTTTGCCCTCAACTTTCAAATGTAGTGCCTAAAGCCCCGACATAATAATATATCCCGAAACCCCTGCTCCTCTGGAGGTCTGAGAACCTCCGCAAAGCCTACTTGGATGACTTGCAGGTCAAGAGCAAAGAGGTATGCAAGATGCGAAACCGCTTGCAGAGCCTTATCGATGCTGGCAAGGTTTGGACCCCAGCCCCCAAAGCCCAAACCCATAAGTGCCCCTCTAAGCTTCAAAATTTCAGCAACCTCGACCAGTCGATCCCTAAACGCCACAAAGCCCGAAAGGTCATGCTGCATGTGCTCAAACCCGAAAAGAGATCCCCAAAATCCTGAGCGCCACAAGTCCTGGGAAGCTTAAAAACCCCAAGCCTAAACCCCAACATGCTTGCAACAATTTAATGCCGAAGTCGCACCAACTTAAACCTAGCTCAAATTCTGGCCCTAGAAGACCCCTAAATTGGGTTTAGGGGTTCGGGCTTTAGGAGTTTCGGGCTTTAAGTTTAGAGCTTTGGGGGTTTAGGGCTTTAAGGGTTTAGGGCTTTAGGGGTTTACAGGCTTTAGGGCTTTAGGGGTTTAGGCTTTAGGAGTTCAGGGCTTTCGGGTTTTAGGGGTTTAGGGCTTTAAGTTTAGAGCTTTAGGGGTTTAGGGTTTTAGGGGTTTAAGGCTTTAGGGGTCTTGGGCTTTAAGTTTAGAGCTTTAGGGTTTTAGGGTTTTAGGGGTTTAGGGCTTTAGGGGTTTAGGGCTTTAAGTTTAGAGCTGTGGGGCTTTAGGGGTTTTGGGCTTTAAGTTTCGTGCTTTAGGGGTTTTGGGCTTTAGGGGTTTTGGGCTTTAAGTTTAGAGCTGTGGGGCTTTAGGGCTTTAGGGGTTTAGGGCTTTAAGTTTAGTGCTTTAGGGGTTTAGGGCTTTAGGGGTTTAGGGCTTGCAAGCAGGTGAAGGAGATCCCGGACCAGCAGGCTGTGGTGCTCGGCCTCGTGGATGCCATCGATCGCTTCCTGCTGTCGGCCAAGAGAACAGCTGACGAGGGAAATCAGGGGAAGCCGGGCTCCAAGTAGGATCCTGATCACTAGCTCTAGGGTTCCTGGGCCCTCTCAGCAATGATATGTGCTAGGGACACTAGTGCTGTGCTGGAAGGACCTTAGAGAGCTTAAATGTACGGTAGTCGTAGCCCAGACGAAATCGAGATCTTACAATGGAGCCTGGACACAGAGCAGATGCAACTGTGTCGGTGCTTGTGAGATCGGTCTAGATCGATCTACTACGACAATTCTGAGGCCTCCTGAAAGCTTCGCTGTTCGTGCAAAGCACATTTCAAAGACGGGTTGGTTGGCTTCGTGCAGGGGAATGCAACGAATCCATAGACCCAGCCCATAGATATGCCCGGACAGACGACGAAAATGGACCTTGCAGTCGATTCGACTGTTTTCATTACAAAGCAAATCCCATAACGAATATTCAAGGATCCTCTCGATATAAGAAGCTGCATGCCAGGTACAGACCATGAAGATCTGGAAGAGCAAGCCCCTTTCTTCTTGCATATGCTCGAGGAGATTGGTGATGGGGTGTGGCTCTTGGTTCGGTTTGACCCGAGAAGCTGACAAGCCATCCCTAAATCACGCCGAGGCCTCCAGCATCCAAAGGCAGATGAAGGCGGCAGCAGCATCGGCCCAGGAGCACCGAATGGCGAAACCAGAACCGTTATCATCCCGATGCCACGAAGACTCCTAAATCCTAAAGCAGCTTATAAAGCCCCTTAAAGGCCCCGACCGTGAACCCTACCTCAATCCTAAGCCGATCTAGCCCCTTGAAGGCCCCAACCGTGAACCCTAGAAGAAGACCCTAAATGCAGTATAAAGCCCATGGCCCCGCTACAACCCGAAAGCCCAACCTGCAGCTGCCTTTCGTGACACCCAAGCCTAAACCCCTAAAACACTGAATCCTAAAGCCCTAACCCCAAAAGCTCGAAACTTGAAGCCCTAAAGCCCTAAAGCCTGTAAACCCCTAAAGCCCTAAAACCCTAAAGCCCTAAACCCCTAAACCCCTAAGGCCTGTAAACCTTAAAGCCCTAAGGTTTCAAAGCCCTAAACCCCTAAAACACTCACACCCAAGCCTAAACCTTCAATCCAAAAAGTCCCCAGGATAGCCGTGGTCGATCGTCTACGCACACGATGAAGCTGGCAAGCTACAAAGGTCGGTCAAATGCTGCCCGCAACTTTACTCGCTTTGCCAAACTCCCCTTCGAGCCACGGATCGCGAACAGCTTAGGTCTTTAGTTCAGAAACTGTACTGGGGGGTTGTAGGCTGTAAGCTCAAGGTTGGGTTTTTTCGTGTGGGGCCGGGTTTAAAGTTTATTGCTCGGGCCTATTGGTTTCAAGTTTTATAGGTTGGGGGCTGTGTTATTATTTGTTTTATGTGGTGTTCTTATAACGAAACACGATATTCAGTTCCCTTTGTGCTTCGAAGATATAAGGAGATGACATCATGCTCGGTGCCTGTGAAATGCACTGAAACCACAAGAAAATACAGGAATATTCCAATCTTCAATGCCGACGAGGTTCTTCGTTATTTATGGGACGAAGTGGGTGTCAAAGTTTCTTCGGAGAGTATTCGGGAGTATTGGACACGGGCCAAGCAAGCCGGAGTTCCCTGGGCCCAACACGACTACAGCAGCCAACCTGGAGGATGGCCGATTCCCTTGAAAATCTTCGGAGACGATGCTACCTTCAACCAGCATCTCGGCTTTGCATCCAGCTTTTTCTAGACGATGTTCTAAATTCTAAATATAAATTTTCCTATTGGCGAACTAAAGGATGGGCGACAAAGCCCTCGCATTCGTGTTGAGCTGTCCGTTGTGGCGGCCACAGGGTGCGAGGAATTCTCGGTTCTTGCTTTCCGTGTTGTCGTTGGATGCTACTTACCTCGGCTGGGAAACCCTGAAACCTGTCATTGGTCATATTGTTGCTGCCTTAAACCGAGCAGCAGCCACGCCACTGACCCATGACGGTCATTGCTTCATGGTCACCGAGATTGGTGGCGATTGGAAATACTTTCGTGAGGCTCTATGCCTGAGGACCCATTGGAATGCCCCACGGATGTGCCACCATTGCAGAATCGTGAGGAGGAACATGGCAGATTTGCCTCTGGCCCATGACATAGATTTCAGGGACACTCGTGGTTTTTTGGCGGAGGCTTCAAAACAAGATGCATCGCCATTTGTGCTGCTCCAGGATTTTCATCCTTCCAAAATCACCTGGTGCCTGCTCCACAACCTCTACCTGGGCTTGTCTCCTGGCTGCATTTGGCCTTAAAGGGGTAGCCACTGGGTTTTTCAGTCTTGCAATGGCCCGAAGAGGCTGTGGACGGCGAACGGGGGGGCAATGGCATGCCTTCTCGACCTGGGTTGGTGGGGACTGCCGGATGTCGACATCAGAGTTCGCCTTCAGAAGGCATGGGCCGACTTTTGCGACTGGAAGTCTGCAAACAAGGTTACGTGCTCACAACGACCCTTTACACCTGGCATGCTCTTCAAAGCGAAACATGGTGCATATTTGAGTTGCAAAGGATTCAACAGCCGGGTTCTTTCTTCCTGGCTTGTCACAGAGGCACAGAAGGCCTGGCAGGGCTCTGCAAACCCCAGCGATGAACTGTCTCTTATGACACATGCACTGCCGCTCGGCTTCTTCAATTTCCCTCGGGCCTTCACCCTTTCTTTTTTTCTTCTTGTGGCTAGACCACAATCGAAATTCGAGCCCTTGTAGCTGGGGGAATCTAATCTGCATTGGAGGACCTCGATCTCTTCCTATATGGACTTGTCCGAGAGATTCCTGCGGTTTCTGAAACTTGGCTCGTTCGGTAATGGATTTTGCATGTGAAGCCCTAAACCCTAAACCCGGTCATTCCAGGACGCCGGAGGAAGCCATGCAGCTCTATTCGGCGGGGCTGGGCTTCCTGGAGTCACATGTGGCCCTCACAAGGGTGTGCCAAAGGACTGCTGGGACCCCTCACGGTGTCAAAAAGGATTCCTTTGGACACATTTCTCCTCGACAGGAAGAATTTGAAAAGATGGCTGCTGAAACCCAAATTTCATGTGCTCTCCTAAGCGACCAGGGTCGGGGCTTGCAGATTCGAATCGAAATCAGTCTGTAATTGGGCTCCCGTGACCGAGGCCTTCCACGAACAGCTTGTCATGACTCGACAATGGGGACACTTGATGGCAAGTAGAGGGAACCAAGGCAATATTCTAGCTGCCTGCTGGTGCTGCGAGGTATGAATCAGAGGTTCCTTCATGGAGCCTTAGACGAGGACCATATGGCATATGTCAAACGAACCTCGTCGGCACTGGAAAACCAAACATGCTTAAAGGTCTCTGAGGGTCCTGGAACCTGAGCCCCAAACCCTGAAGCTCCAAGCCTTAAAGCCATCATCATAGAATTGCAAAAGCCCCAAAAGTCAGTCCGGCCCCTGAGCACTCTCGAACCCGAATCGTAATCCCTTCCCAATCTGAGGACTTTGTGCGAGATCCAACATGAAGCGAAATATGGAAAGACACGTCTTGAAAGTTGCCGGATTCCGACTTTTAGCAATGAAGTACAAAGTTCGCCGATTGGATTTGAACACCAGTGCGGCCAAGAGGATGCGACTCTCGTGAGCCCGAGCTTCCGGAAAACATCGATGGGATTCTTGAAGTCTCTTTCGGGGTGGTTCGAGTTCCTTTCCTGGAGTTTCGAATGGGTCATTTCAAGGTGGTTCGGGTCCGCAGGCTCTTGAACATCCTTGGGTCGAAACGAGGTTGTTCGGGGGATCGTCTGTGTTTGATGGAAGCAGGGTTTGCTTGATGCCTAATTGGGGTGGTTCGACGAGGATTTCCGAACCACCGGAAAAAGTCAGGTGGCAATGGCAACGCCCTTGGTTTCTAGGGTGGCAGGAATCATAGGGTTATTATTACTGTATTGTTATTACTATTGTTGTGAAGCCTGAACCCTAAGAGCAGACACCCCCTTCTACGTCACCCTGTGGGTCGCAGCCGCGCAACTCCCATATGCAGTGAAGAACAGCCGCTGTATGAAAAAATATGACAGCAGCATATCAATGTCTGACGAGGGGCTCGTATGAAACATAGTTAAACACACTCGGATAGCCACAGGCCAAAATCCTGAAGACAAAAACCCCGAAGCTGTCCAAATACTGGCCCTGGACGCGATAAGACGCTGCACGGCATTCCGACTCTTCCGATTCTGGGATTTATGGCTCTATCACCCGATCCTCGCGCCTCTTGTCAGACTGTGCTCTATCTGCTGTACTTTCCTACATTCTGAACCATCCTTAAACCCTCGTCTGACCTAGAAAAGAGTTTGGCTACTGCCCCCATACAGTAACAATCTATCATAGGGCTACTAGTAAGGGCCTTATATATATCTACAATATAATACTATTCAAAAGTTAGTGAATGGGGGCAGTGTCCAAGTGAGAGTTATGGTTAGCTCCGGCGTCCATGGGTATCTAGCAGGGAATCTTACGTGTACTACACCCCCAAACCCCTAAACGGGAATCTTTCAGGGAAGGAGGGCATGGCCCAGTCCTACAACAATGAAATCATGCAGGAATACGGCAACTTGACGAACCTTACCTAGACCCTCCATCTACCCTCATATTAGACCCTGAATACCCCTTATTCAAACCCAGATGACCCCTAGTTGAGGGTACACAAGGAGGGTCCCGGCAGATTCCGCTTTCTTCCCATTGGAATGGAGGATCATGGGACTTAGTAAGTAAGGTTATAAGTCCCTTAATTGGGGTTATAAGTATAGTTATCCTATTTTTAACCCTACTTACTAAGTCCCATGATCCTTTAAGTGGGGGCCTCTCGGAGAGGCGCCCCTTCTCCTCGAGCTCCTGCAGCTGCTGCAGGTACCTGGAGCCTCGGGGAGTGACGTAAAATGAGCTTCGGACCTTCGCCAAAGGGTTTACGGTTTAGGGTTCAGGGTTTAGGGTCTAGGGTTTAGGGTTTAGGGTTGGGTCCAGGAGGGAGTTTTCCGGCTTCCGTAATTCAGATATTTCTGCAACCAAGGAGGAACCAACTGCAAGGACAGTTAGGGGAACAGTGTGGCTTTAGTGCATGTCTGAGTAGGAAGCACTAAACCTCATACTCCGAACCAAACAAGTCTGATAGGCTCTTACCGAGAGTGGTCCAGTGGTCCAAGGGAATGTAATGCGGTCCTAAGAGTCATCGTAGGCGTGATGGGGCCGCAGCATACAGCCAATTCCGAACCTCTGCGGAATGCTTAGGAAGGCAGCGCAATATAGGGGCCTTAATGATTGGCCTGGGTTTTGGGGGTATACTATATTATCATTATGCTGAGGAACCCCCAAAATCCTACTCTAATCATTGAGGCCCCTACATTAGGATTCTTGGGTTCAGGGTCTGTCAGGGATCACTTCTCTGTGTCCGGCTCCCTGTCTCTTGAAATTCTTGACCACACTCCGGAAGACGAGCTTACAAATGACATCCTGGGGATAGAGAGGCGATCAGACTTCTTCTGGACCTCATGAGGTTGGCATTCTGGAGCCTCAGGTGCAGCAAAGTGGCCATCTGCGTCCAAGAACACCGCGCTGTAGGTCCCCGTCAGCCTCTTAGGAAATGGCAGAATCTCAGAAAGCTCTGCGAGATGCGAAACTCTTCAGAAAGTAAGGGGTGCTTGAACACAACAGGGCTTGACACCAGGGCTCCTATGCTGCTACTCTAGATAGCATCACATGAGAACCTTTCTGAAAAACAGGATTCTGGATCAAGGGCTAGACACCACAACCAACGCTGATCCGCAAAACTGCTGGGGCATTGGCGATCAGTGGCAACAAAAATCGGGTCCAGCTCTGTTGCCATTTCTGCTACGCAAGTCGCGCGTCCTGCCTGGGAATAACTTCAGCGCTGTTTCCCAGCCAAACCTGACAGGGCCAAACCAAAGGCTAGAATTACGGGGCCAAAATAAAGCCCCCTCTGATCCCTAAATCCCTAAACCCTAATCCCTTTAGGCTCCTTGGTACCTCATACATGTAAGCTCCAGTCTCTTGCGTGGCCAGTGTTGCCGGAAGCGGATACGGTGATTCAAGCTGAAGCTCGGTAAAGCTCCCGGTACAGGTTGGGATTGGCTTGGGGCTTCGGGGCAAAGGGTATAGGGATTATGAACCCTGCTGGTTATGGCACTATCTCGAGGTCGGGGCACTCAATCAGAATATCCCCTTGCGGCATCCACATAACTATGCTACGATGTACGGCAAACCCGCTGTCGAATCATTCTAAGGGCAAACTACTAAACAAAACTGTGACTGCCACGCGAAACGTGCTCCAAAACCTCAAACATTGTAATCCTAAACCCTAAACCCCAAGTAAGATGCCTCGATGCGGGAGCTCAATTCGGCCATGGCCTTGTCAGGACGTCCCGGGGCTCTTTAGGGTTCAGGGTTTAAGGGTTTAGGGTTTAGGGGTCTGTTCAAAGCCCCGTGCACAAGTAGTTGGGTTCCTGCTCAACTTTCCACAACAAGCAAAGCAAACAATTCACGATGATCCCTCCTAGTGTAGACTTAGGTCAAGCTTTTCAACACTCCAAAGAGCCCTCGCAAAATGTCTTTGTTTTGGTAAGTTAGACTTAACCAAGGTTACTTAACAGCTTACAAATATCTCAGCCGCCTTCTTTTAGGTAACTCAAGCTTCACCGGAGATCTTTGACACCTTCACAAAAGTGACCCGGTTCTAGTAGCGTAGCTCCTTACGCCCTGAAACCCTACGTTTTTGAGGGTCCTGATGATCTATGAGTGGTGTACGGAGTCCTGGAGACAAGGGTCTTTTAGAATCTCTTTTGTCATATTGGTTTGCGACTTGTGGGATCTTGTATGAATCTTTACCTTCTTAGATACCTTGCATATCGTAACATATAGCATCATGAAAACAGGAACGGCCTAAGACAAGGAGGGCCAAATTGCGGGGCAGCCGCCCAAAATGGAGGG